CAGGTTATTGTTTGCCTTCTGAGCAGCAGACACCTTGGCTTGTAGAGACGCGGCATTGGTGTCGATCCACTGCAGCTGCGACAGGTGGCCGTTGAGAACACGGACAATCTGGCTCAACTATGAGGTTGTTAGCGTTTGCATGTTTGAGCGAGTTTCGTGGGCAACTTACAGGATCCTCGGGCTTGGTGCCCTTGCTCAGAGTGCCGGAAATATCATTAATCTCCTTAACCATCTTGGACAGATCTCTGCTCTTCTCATCAAGGCTCTGCGTGAGCTTTTCAGCCAGCTTGTAAGTGCGCTCGCGCTCCTGATCAGGTCCGGCGAGAGTCTCGCCCTGGCCCATCTGCTTGGAAAACATCTCCTTCACCTCCGTCTCGTAACGGTTCAGCCACTCCTCCAGCTCATCCTGCTGGCTCTCGACAGCCTGAAGTTGGCGCTCAATCTCGTGGCTCGCCTTCTCAGCCTCAAATGTGTTGAGGTAGAGCTTTTGAATCTTCTCACCGTTGTCGACGAGTCCCAGGTCCCAGTCGGCAACCTGGTTGGCGTAATGCTTGAAGTCCTTCTGGTACTTGGACAAGTCTGAGGCCCAGCGAGTGATGATGTCGTCCATGGACTTGTTCTTCAGGCGAGGCAGCTGGGAGGTTGGGCCAGTGGTAGAGGCACCAAGCGTAGCATTTGAAGTACCGGCAGCGGCCGTGCTTGCAGCGGGCGCGGTGCTGGTCTGAGTTGTAGTAGCAGCGGGAGTAGATGGCTTCGCGCCAAAGAGACCGCCGGCAGCGGCAGGGGTGGCAGTGGTAGCCGACGTTGTGGTTGCTGTGGGAGTCGCGGTGGTGGCGGTAGCAGGCTGAGAAGTGCCAGCTGGGGCAGCTCCGAAGAGGCCACCGGCAGGCTTGGACGCGGGAGCGGCGGCGGCGGCGGACGACGCGCCGCCGAAAAGAGATGAAGGAGCAGCAGCAGCAGTAGTAGCCGGGGTGGCGGCCGTGGTGGCAGCGGGCTTGGCACCGAACAAACCTCCGGCGCTGGCCGCCGGCTGGGCTGTGGAAGCTGCGGGTGTGGAAGCTGCGTTACCGAAGAGGCCACCTGCAGCAGCGGGCGCGGCAGCAGTTGCAGGAGTAGCAGGCTTAGCAGCGGCGGCTCCAAAGAGCCCACCGGCAGCAGGAGCTGCTGTAGCTGTGGAAGCGGGCTGAGCGGATGTGGTGGCAGCAGCTTGGCCGAACAACCCACCAGCGCTGGGGGCAGGAGAGGCAGCGGGCTTTGCGGCGCCAAAGAGACCACCGGCGGCAGGCGCTTGTGTTGTCTGACCTCCACCACCAAAAAGGCCTCCTGTGCTTGCAGGCTGCGCGGTTGAAGCAGCCTTGGACTGGGCAGCACCGCCAAAGAGACCGCCGGCGTTGCTCTCTGCCGGCTTAGCCGCGGCCGCAGCACCGAAAGGAGAGGGGGCAGCTGAGCCTGAGCCAGATGCCGCGGCGCCGCCAAAGAGACCGCCAGCGGCAGGCTTAGCCGCACCAGTCGGGGGAGCTCCAGCAGGTGTAGTTGATCCTCCGAGGGAGAACGCAGGCTTCGCGGGCGTCGCTGTTGTTGCCGGGGCGGTTGGTGTTCCAGACGTCGCAGGCTTCATACCCCCGAAGAGTCCTCCAGCCGCAGGTGCAGGGGCTGATGAAGGAGTTGATGAGGCATTCTGTCCAAAGAGACCGCCAGCAGCGGGAGCAGGGCTTGCCGTGTTTCCACCGCCGAAGAGGTTCGAGGTTGGTTTAGACGCCGCAGCTCCTCCGAAGAGACCTCCCGATGCAGCAGCGGGAGTGCCGCTCGCGGCTCCGCCAAAGAGACCTCCTGATGCCGGAGCGGATGTACTGGGTGTGCTCGAGCTTGTGTTTCCGAAAAGACCTCCAGAAGCGGCCGGGGTGGATGCGCCTGCCGCAGGCTTCGCTCCAAAGAGACCACCGCCAGTCGATGCCGGTGTTCCAGTCGATGCTGGTGTCGTACTGCCGAAGAGGCCACCGCCTGCGGGCTTCTGACCGGTACTCGCACCAAACAGACCTCCACTGGCAGCAGGAGTGCCGCTGCTTGAGCCTGCTGCAGCTCCTCCAGGCGTGTTGCTGCCCAGGTTGCCAAAGGAAAAGCCACCGCCCGCTCCTCCAGCAGCCGCGCCGCCGAAGAGACCTCCGGATGCTGGCGCAGAAGTCGTTGGGTTCGTGCCGCTGCCTGACGTGGGCGTGCCGCTTGTGTTTCCGAAGCTGAAGGACATCGTGCTCGGAGCTTCGTATGTCGATCGGTTGATGTTGTCTAGGTGATGGTTGACGATTTCTCGCAGGATGCAAGTCGCAAGTCGCTTCTGTCAGGGGCTTTGAGCTGTTGCTGTTCACTATCCTCGCATTGGGTTGCGAATCGAACCCCCAAAAGTGTTCTCGCCGTCTAATCGCAGTCGGTGGCCGTGTGTCGAGCTGCGCAGGGAAGTTACGATGGGGTATAAAGACTGCTTGTCGGAGGAAGGATGGCTGTTGACGACGACCGACAGCTTTTTTTTTTTTGTGATGCTCCAGCCTTTCAGGTCTGCCTCCACGCGACGGACGCACTGGCGCGCTGGGCTTGACTGGTACCTGCTGCGCCGGGACCAGGGACTTATGGTGACCTTCAGACTCACTGATAGGTACTAGCGCGATTTAGCCGGATCTAGCCCCACGTGATGCTTGGTGAGCTGACCTACCTGTAGAGCTGCGCAGTTCCTGTTGGCCATCTTCGGGCCTGCTCGGTGCCCTGCCTCCCTGCCCAAGAAGTCTATTCTTTCTGGTCTTCTCAGGGGCCGAAAGCCTTCTTCACCTCTGGTTCTCAAAGAGTTGCGGGCTAGAACTTTGACCCTGGGGATACCATCGTGCAACGTCCCTCCCTTGGCCCACACCTGACGTATCCGCTAATCGACAGGTTACCCCCTCCACATCCACTCCTATTCCTCATCACCGATAACTCTCAAACTGCCTTGAGTGTTTGCAACTTCCCAAATCACTTCCTGACAGCCCGCAATTAGCGCCAGTTTAAAAACCATGAAAGAAGACGAGACCCTTTCGCCGCCCAAGCGGTCTAGCATCAGCGATCCTGGAGCGCACGATCTGGGTAAGACCCCCCTTGTCACCCCTCGCTCCCTAGATGATCGTCTTGGTTTGTCTAACAATCCGTTAGCTGAGTCCGACTCAGAAGATCACTTCTCCGATGCGCAGTCCGCCCCTCTCAGCCCCGGAACGTCGCCTATCCCCAAGACCCGTGTAGAGAAGGTCGACGACGAGCCGTCATACGGCGAGGTTCCCGGCACGGAGGCTTACCGCATGAGAGAGGGCGACGCCGAACCGGACGAGATTGCTATCCAGGAGAACAAAAGCGAAGAAGAGACCTCCTCAGATGCCGCTCCGCCACCCTCACCAGGCGGGCAACCCATCCCCAAGACGGTTGTCGAGGAGGTGCCGGGCACGTCAGGGCCGCACTCAGAGGAATACGCAGAGAAGCGTAAGGCAGATGCACCGGCCGACTTGGTCCTCAAGGCGGAGGACGATGTCAAGGATGACGGCAGCAACACCGGTACGATGTAGAGATCCCTGAAATTTAAAGAGCATTCGTCGTTGACCTGGCGTCCTTCGTAGATGTCCCACCTGTATCACCTGCGCTTTCCGCTCCTCCAGGCTCCCCTCGTATGAGACGGAAACCGTCAAAGAATACCCTGTCCTCTGCTCCTTCAAGTGCTGGGCTTGCACCGCCGCCCACCGGGGAAGACGGAGAAGGCGATGGCGATGACGACGATTTTGGTGACGATTTTGACGACTTCGAGGAGGGAGAGGAAGGGGACGGTGACTTTGACGACTTTGAAGATGGATTCCAACAACCAGAATTCGATGCGCCTACCCCGGCACCTGCGCCTGCGCCTGCTTTGCCGCAAGCTCCGTCATTACCATTCGTAAGTATCTAGATAAACTACGCGCTCGACAAAGCTGACGTCCCTATTTCAGTCCATACCCGACTTTGATGGCCTAGACGGCGAAGACGTGCTCCAAGCAGTCGACCCATACCTTAACACACTCTTCCCTCCAGAATCGCTCGACGTTTCACCGCCCCCGCCATTAACGAAGGAGAACCCCATCTTCCTCACCCCACGGAGCGCATCGCTATGGTCTCAACTAGTGGCTCCCCCACCGCTCGCACCGCCAGACTGGATCCGTTCTCGCATCAGGCGCCTCTTCCTCGTCTCTCTCGGCGTGCCAGTTGACTTGGACGAGATTCTCCCTGCATCTAAGCAGAAGAAGCTTGTACTTCCTTCATTGCAGGTCAACTCGTCAGGCTCACCACGAACTTCCTCAGACTCTCGTTCAGTATCGAGGGTACGGCAAGAAGCAAATGCATCCACAACGTCAGTTGACTCCAAAGGGAAACCATCGGTGTCCAAGAGAAAAGGCGCGCCGACTGCACCGGATCTGGACCTTGTGTCCGCAAAGCAACTCTGCACCACGACGGAGGAGGCTTTGAACGGCATGACGGACGAGGAGCTCAAGGCCCACGTCGCGAAACTACAGGCAATGGAAGGCACCGCCAAGGAGGTGCTGGAATACTGGACGAAAAAGACGGACGAAAAGATAGGCGACAGAGAAGCCTTCGAAGGCGTGATAGAAAACCTGGTCAAGCATGCACGCAAGGTCAGGAAATAATAATAGAAGAGGCTTGTTCATCTTCCGGGCCTATCTATCAGCATACACCGTCTAGTATCCTTTTGCAATTCCCTGTGAAATCGTGACACTACGCCGTCTTGAGTTGCCAGAGCTCCTAATGCCCCGGCTACATCAAGTCTAACGCGGTGGTGTGTCCTGTCATAAGCATTCATTACCCGCCTGGTACTCAAAAAATGCCGTCAAACCCCTACTCCCCGTCGGCTCTACCAGACTGGTTCTTTTTTAGACTCCTGTGATGCTGAAGAAGGGGCTTTTGAGATTTGTTTTTTTTTAAACTCAGTGTCCGGCCCGACTTTAGGCGGTGCTGGGCTCAAGAGTGACACCACTATTTCACGGTCAGTATATGTCAATTTCACATTCAGCACTGATCTGGGTTGACTTACGCAGCAATGGTGGCCCAGCCAATAAGACGCCAATGCTTCTCGATACGACGAGACAGGGCAACCTTCTCGCCAATGTTTGTGCAAGCAGGGCTGGTCAGGACAAGCTTAGCGGCATCGTTCTTGATAGCGGCAACCTTGGCACCAGTGGAAGTAGAGCCGATGTTGACCATGATGACCTCGTTCTTGGTAAGCTTAGCGACCTTGGCCTGCTTTCCGTCGGCGGTTCTGACACCGAGAAGACGGCGCAGGAGGTAGAAGTTGACCTCGATCTCGCTGTAGATTTCGGGCAGCTGGCCCTTGAGACCCAGGACGAAACCGACCAGACGATCGGCTCTGCAGAGGGTGGGGTCGATACGGGTACCGACACCGATAAGACCACCAGGAACGGCATACTTGAGGTCGTTGAACTCGGAGTTGAGGGAGACGATTCTGCTGAAAATGGGCGTGCACTTGAGGGCACCCTTGTCGTCTCTCGTGACGATACCGGGGCGGATCTCAATCTCGTCGCCAAGCTTCAGGACACCGTGCAGAATAGAACCACCAGCAACACCACCCTTCAGGTCGTCGATCTCGGCACCAGGCTTGTTGACGTCGAAAGATCGAATGACAATCATGTGGGGAGCCTGGGTGAAGTCACGAATGGGGACGGGAATGGTGTTGACGATGGCCTCGTTGACGGCATCGATGTTGAACTTCAGCTGGGCAGAGATGGGAATGACGGGAGACTTTCCGGCAACAGTTCCTCTGATGAACTTCAAGATCGACTGGTAGTGTTGCTGAGCGGCCTCCTCGCGCATAAGGTCGACCTTGTTCTGCAGGATAATGATCTTGTCCAGCTTCATGATCTCAATAGCAGCCAAATGCTCGGAGGTCTGGGGCTGGGGGCAGGTTTCATTGCCGGCAATGAGCAGCAGGGCGGCGTCCATGACGGCGGCACCTGACAACATGGTGCTCATGAGAATGTCGTGACCGGGGCAGTCGACGAAGCTAAGTGGAGCACTATTAGCCACCTTGCATTTCACGATTCCGGGGTAAGCTCGTTCTGTAGACAACTCACGAGACATGGCGCAGTAATCTGTAGGTACCGCTGCATCCTTCGCGCTCGCAGGGAGGGTCGACCTCCTTCTCACTCTTGTAACTCCTGAAGCATCCCGGGCGAGGGCACTCGGCGTTGTCGCACTGGTAGATCTTGGCGTTGGCGTAACCAAGCTTGATGGTAATGTTACGGATCAGCTCGTTCTTGAAACGGACGGTCTGAACTCCGGAGATGGCCTTGACGACGGTGGACTTTCCGTGAGCGACGTGACCGATGGTGCCGATGTTGATTGTTGCTTGGCGGGCGATGATCTCGGGGGTCAGAGGGGTGAGGGTCTTGACGTCGAGGTCTTTGGGGTCGGTTTGCGGGGGGAGAGGGGGGCGCTGGACTGTGGTGTCGGCGGTAACGGGGTTCGAAGACTTCTTGAGCGCAGGCTTGAGGCCCTTCTCCTCGTTGAGCTCGGTCTGCTCCTCCACAGACTCGCCGGAGTCAGACTCGGAGTCGATATCGTCGTACTTGGGATCGCCGTTGGCAGACATTGTCGCGACAAGTTTGGTGGTTTTGATGGCGGGGTAGTTTGTCGAGGCGGCTTTGTCGAGGGGATTTTGCGACGGGCGGAGGGCGTCGAAAAATTTGGACTTTGTGTTCGCCTGTTGACTCAGGTATTGGCCTTAACGGTTTCGACGGTACCGGGGGAAAGATGACGCTTCAGTTCGTGGGCTTCGTGACGTCGGGTCGGTTGATTTTTCCTCGCCGACGAGCGTCTCTTGAAATTCTAGGTTGTGGAAAGAGGTGACTCGACGCTAGTCCCGTTCTGGACTGATAAGATAAGGGTGCCCCTCCGGGCAATTCTCATGTGGAGGAGGTGAGTGCCCAAAGAGCGAACCCTTTCTCCCCAACTCTAAATCCCATCTCAGCATGATGCGAATGACAGCATTACTAGAGACTTCTGAGGAGCTTGGAGAGGCAGGCAATATCTGTGCTTCCTTCATCGCAGGCATATTTTTCTCTAGCTACCACCATGCCGAGGCGGGACAAACCCGTCACCATTTCTCCACCAGCGTGTCGTCTCTGAGTCAATTTCAACACAGCACAGTTGGAACTTCGGCTGATGTCTCTGATAAACACCTTGAGAGACGTCTGAGGCTTGGATCCTCCTCACATTGACGACGTCCTCATATGGACGAGCCAACAATCCATCCAATGTAGCTTGGCACTCGTAGAACGAGTACAAAAACCAATTAGCATTCTCCATTCCACGGCCCCGAGCATGGTGCCACTTGATTCGCTTCTGAGTCACCTATGAACAAAGAAAAACCATGCTTCCGAGTCTCCTCGAAAGCTTCGAGAAAGACTTGCGCGACTTGAGAAACATCGTCGCCAGTGGTTTCGACGAGCAGCTCTTATTACTACGTAGATTTGTCACTCACCGGCGTCGGCCCGTGGCCCTTAGCTTCGGCGAGCGACAGACATGACACCCTTGAAACCAGTGCCGGGGCGAAGGAACATTTTGCTCCTTCCAGAATAGAAGAGAGAAAGGACGATAGGTTCGGGATGAGATGGCATTAGGAGGTCAGCCATCCCGTCAACCGGCGTTGAAACTGGGCCATGGGATCACGGCACAGTCCCAGACGAGTAGGATAGACACCACACCATCGGCCACGTACAAGAAAAAGGCTACAGCAGCTCGTCTCCCATCACGTCTCTCTGATTGGTCGAAATTCCTAAAAATAGGTTCGGACGAGATGGAAAACCACGGGACACGGGCCAAGTCTTACCTACCTTGAACCTGCCTACCACCATCTGCAGTACAAGGGCGATCGCTGACGGTTGACAGATAGCCCGGACGGCGCCTAGCTCATTCCTCAACATCAGGTGGAGGGCGACACGCCTGGGAAGAGGTGGTGATATCCATTTCTATTCTTTGTCGGCGCGTCTCACGGATCGACGGCAGTCGACCCCAAACACCCAGGCTCGACGCAATTAGTCGCACCAGCACACGCAACATCATCTTCGAGGCTCGAAAGCATGCTGTTGCCAGGCTTCCGGGCGCCCGGACTGCGACTGCGATTGTCGGTTACCCCAAATCCCAGCATGGCCAACGTGAGATTTTGGTGCCTCCGTTGAGGGTGGTAGACGTGGAGGGGCAAATGCTATCCATGGCTATACCTATATCACACATTGTGTATCTTACAGCCAGCCTGCATGCAAACACCACCACGCTACGGTCAGTCGCCAACTCGCCTGTCATTCTGCGGCTTTGCCTACTCTGCGAGCCAAGGACGGGCAGACCTTGATTGATGGTCTGTAGACCCACAGCAAAGAGCACGTTTCTGTGCCGCTTGGAGCAAGTTCAGCGGGATGAGATGACTCGAGTGAGTGAGGAGCAGAGTCGCAAGAGACAAAACGACCGCGCAGGCGTTGTGGCCATCCTGTGTTTGCCATTCACCCAATTCTTCCCCCAACTTTTGCTTACCGCCGGAGCTGCATGTGGCTGGACATTCATCACGCACCTCTACTCGCTGATTGGCCGGGTGTTCTTGTGCCAACGTGCAAGCATGTGGCATCCGGAGCGCCTGTACGATTTGAGCCTATCATGACTGCAGTTGACGGACAGGGGAGGCGGGCGGTAGCAAGGGTCGACTTATCGATTTGGAAGAGTTGGCGCCCGTGGGTGATCAGGAGCAAGGGTTCCGCAAGCCTCCTCTTCCATCCTCCGTCCAACCACATCATTGTTCACCTAGCCTGCCTCCTCTCAATTTGAACGTCAACGTCCAATCACCATCCTTACGTCCATCGTCGAACCATGCGGATGCAACTGCAACTGCCGCCAAGCTCCAGTGAGCTTTGTCGAGGACGCTCTCTCTCTCTCTCTCTCTCTCTCTCTCTCGCTCTCTGTATCAGTGTACAGTTAGAGTACGTACATGGCCATCCAGGTAGAAGCTGCAAGTTGGGTAGGGGAGGTCGGTTACTCTGAGAGATGACCGAGGGTGCATCCTCTCCTCATCCGTGCCTCTTTTCCCCTCTCTAGATGCCTTTTGGGGTTGCTTTGGATATTCTATATTCGTCCAGCGAGTTGGAAAAACTGCGCAACCCTTGGCTTTATTGAAAGTTCCTCCGCCTTGGTTTGCCTCTTCCTGCGCCTGCTCCTCTCTCTCGTCTTCTCTGCTTAACAAGCCGAACCGCTCCTCGTCTGCTGCAATCTTCTCGAAACTAAAGAGACTACCCGTTCATTGTGTCAGTAGTCGCTGCCCACAAAAACGAGCTCGCTCGATTTAGTACCCGCCAGCTAGGAACAGGCGAGTTTCCACGACAGCTCTCAGAGCATCGGGCCAACCACAGCTCGGCACCACCCCGTCCACTCTCGTGGGCGTCTATTTCCATCACGACCGAATCGCCGGCCTGGAACCTGGCGGTTCACCTATCAGAGCCCTGCTCAATTCGCGCCATCCTACCCTTCCGCTCTGCAGGTAGAAGTCCCCATCCCGCTTCGTCCCACTTACACCATGCTGATCTCCCTCCTGCAGTAAAAGAGGCATTGCCTTCGACCTACTCTGTGGCGGCGCCAATTCAAAACCACCTTCATCCCCAAGGAACCGGCCTGCTGGACCTCTCTCTCCTCCCTTCCGACAGCTGGTCTCGCCAAATCTGATTCCTATCGTGCCTCATTACTGCTTTGATCTTCGCTATCTGTCGCATGTCCTGAGTTCATCCTTCCTGTTGGCGACCCAAGTTCTAGGTTGCCTTTCCAATATACTAGACTCGTTTCTCTTGTTCTCTGTGATCTCTGGAGACACAGACAAAAACCTCCACAATCATGAACCCTCAAGGTACGTCTCTAACAACAAAGACATATTGTTCAGCAACAATCTAACATCTTTGCCAGATGACAAGAGGCGGCCTGCCGCACTAAACCTCGCGCCGACTCGATCAGCATCCACAGACTCGTCTTCATCCGACTCATCGTTGAAGCCCCCTCGTACTCCCCGTTTCGCGGAAGCAACGTCAGTACACTCCCCTGTCGAGGGGACTCGATCGCCATTTGCCGACCCTCCCGCGAGATCAGAAGTTCCTCAATCCCAGCCTGGCGACATTGGCTTCGGCTACATCAGCAACAACGGCAACCGCGAGTCTGTCGCCGTCCCCATGACACCGAGATCACCACTCAAGAGCGCCATGAGGGTGCCAGGGACACCGGCACGCAAGATTGATAACCCCCTCAGCCCGACCTTCAGAGAGGAGGAAATTCTCGAGAAGCGCGAAGCTGCAACCGACAAGGAGCAGGCCCGTGATCTCGTATGTTGTCCGGTCATCACCCAATCGTGATCTTGGCTTACACCTTTACAGAAAATCAAGACACGCGTTCGCATGGCCAAGTTCGCTCTTCGTGGCGTCAACTTTAGCTGCAGTCTGATCATCATTTCTATGATCGCCGCGACCCTACAGATCTTCAACGCTACTAGGAAGCTTCCCGCCCAGAGTGGTCTGCCACCATGGGCTGAAGGCACCGCTATCTGGCCTCAAGTCCTTGTTATTACTAGTCAGTAGCTAACTTTTGTCAACCCGACATCTCTTGCTAACGGTCCCCACAGTGTCTTCCATCTCTCTCGCCGTCTGCCTCGGAGTCTTCATCGCATACTGCCGTGGTGGGCACCACCGAGCCGAGAAAGTCGCAACCTACTACACGCTCTTCGCCATCGGCTGGTTCATCCTCTCCATGGTTCTCTGGGCTGTCGCCGCCGGTATCTTCCAGTCAAGTCGCAACAACGGCGGAGGCAAGGACATGTGGGGGTGGAGTTGCAAGGAGAACAAGCGTGCCGAGGTCTTCAGCGAGAAGGTCGACTACGCTCTGCTTTGCCGTCTCCAGAACTGGGCCCTCATCTGCATGGTCATCGAGATCGTCATCGACGTCATCTGCGTTCTCCTCTACAGCATCGTCTTCTACCGCTACTACACCAAGCGCCGTCTGCACAAGTCCATGGACATGCGCGACCGTGCTCGTTCCGACCTCTACCTCGCCCAGCTGCGTTCCCAGTCCGCCCCCAATACTCCGGGCCTCAAGTCTCCCGGTCTCTACTCTCAGTACACCATGTCCCCTCGCCACCCGGAGGCGACCTTCGAAAACCTGTCCCGGATCGAGGAGGCCTCTCCCTTCACTCCCGGAACCCGATTCGTCGAGCCAGAGTCCAGCTTCGCCAAGCCCAAGTCTACCTTCAAGCTCCAGGCTCCCCCAACGAAGGCCCCGTCTGCGACACCAAAGACCAACGCGACCGGCTTCACGCCGACCTCTGCCACCGGCCCCGAGCCGAACTTCCCGCCAGTCCAGCAGCGGTCCGAGTCGCCTCAGGGCCACGCGCCGATGGCGGCTGATGAGCCCGTCTACGAGGCTGTGCCTATTCCGGGTGCCTACGCCGATGCTCCCGTAAAGAGCCCGCCACCACACCAGTTCAACTTTGGCACCAGATAAGACGGGGAAAAGATTGATATGATGTACGAGACGGATGAGGATGAAATTGACGTGCCACCAAAAAAGGAGACTGTTTATATTTCTTTTGTATCAGCTGAGCTGGATTTTTTTTACACGTCTCCTTTTTCTTACAATTCGACACGAGTCGATCTATATACCATTCAGGCGTTGGGAAAGGCAAGACGAAGATGGGAAACATCCATTTTCATTTCGTCCACAGGTCATGAGGATTGGCTCTTTGGACATACGTTAGCGAACAGGCAGTAATTACAACCCTTGTATAATTTTTTTAACCCCTCGTTTCTTGTTCCTATTCCTGGTCCTCTTCTTAATGATGCGGCGACCTAGTTGAGTCATGGTTACTTACTAGTTGGTCCCCCGGCGAGGTCCCCGGAAGGATGGCCCCAGTTTACCGGCTCCTCCGTGCCCTTACCCTTTTTCCACTTCTCCCACCAACGACAACACTACCGACAACGGAATTCCACTTTGATTGTCTCCATCGCGTGCTGAACTCAACAAGATCAGCTGGGTTCTAATCGCCCGGCTAGCTCAATCGGTAGAGCGTGAGACTCTTAATCTCAAGGTTGTGGGTTCGACCCCCACGTCGGGCTCAATTCCCGTCCGCGATTGACCAGCGTTCAATTTTTGGACTTTTTTTGCTTTGCTTATATCGCTGGTCCTCTCCGTCTTTCCTTCTTTTTCCTCTCCCCCTCTCTCAAAATTACACGTCTGTAGGCTTTTTCCTGCTTCTTGAAGTGCCTTATATATTCTTTGCTATCTAGTGTCCACGAGACATTAATTCATCCCAAACACTTATACAATTAGACGCTCTTCAATAGCGAGGCCTCTATAAGGACCTGCTGTTCAAAAGTGTTGTGACAAGCCCAAATCGCAGAAAAACCAAGACGTTTCTTCATAGTTCATTGAACATCTCCGATGCTCCTGCCTAATCTCTCATGCCCTCCCACGCCGTATATGCCGATGTCATAATTCATCTATGTCGTCAAGAACCCAGCCATACCCCTACCACACTCCTCAGCCTAGACCATCGACAAACCCCTATGATAACGAAGCTGACAGGAACATACAAGATAGAAAGACCGTCAACTGAACTCTTCAGTCAGCCAATGAACTCCGTACACAAGAGTGGTTCCCATGGCTGTCCTGTCATCCAGACCCTTTCCATCAGTCGTCTCGCCTTGTGGACCTATGCCGGGACATTAGCCTTCAACAAGTAGAACGCAAGTGAGGACAGCGTCGTACCTGTGTCATTCCGTTTCCCTCCACACTCCTAAACCTCTCAAGAATCCTCGACCTCTGATCCTCGTTAAGCGTATTACACCCGGCCGTGAACATGGGAAACAGAAACCCCGTCTCCGCGGTGCCTCCGGCCCTGACGTACTCCATGCAAGAGAAGATTCTCTGCACAGGCCCTTGGACGTCCGCGTGGCCTGACAACTTGCCGAACACACGCCGATGTATGTGGACCAGCCCAGCCCAGTGAAAGGCCTCGTTCATCAGCACCATTTCCTGCCTATCCCTAGCCTCGACATTCTGCACATGTCTGCAAGGATGTGACGGCTGTGTCATACTCTCCATCAACTCCCGCTCAAGCTGCTGGGCACGGCGGACGCAGTCAGTGTCTGGAATCCATTCCGGTCGAGCTTGGCCATCAGATCTGATGCGCTGCATATCGCAATGGCGGGCGAGCTCAGATACCTTTGCAAGCAGCTGGACGCAATTTGTAGTGAAGCCCATGATACAGTCAATTTTATACTTGTCGTCAACGTTGTTGTACATTGTGTACTCGAGGACCCATGACCTAGATGGTTCGGAACCCGTACCGCCGCTGAGGCTTCCCAAGACGTCTAGGTAGGCTAACCAGCTCCATAAGAAGGAACAGACGCGGTCCTCTTCAAGACTGTAAGAGGTTTTTCGAAGATCGGCTAGACGTCTTCGCATGAGATCGCGAGCAAGGTTCAAGTGCGTCTGCCAAGGAATTTCGTAGCCGAATGCCGTGGGGGATATGATCTCCAGAGACGCAAGCATGATGGCGGTTGCGAGGCTTGTGTTGGAGATGATTTGTTCCCTGTCACCCAACGCTAGGCGGAGGACGGGAAAAATATCTTGGACCCAAAGGGCGATTCTCATCTCGGGTTCCCTTTGACGAAGAAGCTTGGCCCGGTGGGACGCTACTGAGGAATTAGTTTGTGATGTCCCTGGAGCATGAACATGTTTCTTGCCTGAATATGCCAAAAGCAAACTCAAGAGGTGGTCGTTTCGAGTGGCCATTTGCGGCAGGACTGTGCGGAATGGATTGGAACTTGGGTCATCGTAGGGCACAAGAACTTTATGTGTAAGCGCCGTGCTTGAATCTCTGAGCAGAAATCTTACTCTTTGCTGTATGATTAAGAAAATGATGCTTTGTGTGAAAGTTAGTCGGAGCCTCTAGAGACGAGATTGGAGCTCACGAACAAAATACTATTTCAGTTAGTAGGTTCATCCACAAACGCGGTGCCACGCAGACCACGGATTGACTTACCAAGAGATTCATTGGGTTGTCTCGAAGCCTACCAAGTGTTAGAATCTCCAAAAGGCTCGCGACTTGCTACTTACTTTGAAGGAAGGGGCTCGAGATTACGAGGAATTCGAATCAAGATGGGCCTGTCATAGTAGCCCCCTGTCATTCGAGGTAGGATACTGCTCTGCAAACTAATGCCCCTGGGTTGAAGAGGCGGGAAGCCACCACGTCCACCACTCATGACAGTCATAGAACTCTCACCGTCCGAGGTTGTCTTGGAGATAGCGCCTAAATCGTTGTTCTGATTGATATCGGCGTCTCGAAACCCGAGGTCATAGCCATAGAAAATGGCATCTTCCGATACGTCCTCTTTAGGCCGTAGGTCTGGCAGAGGTGGTCCGAAGTTGTACTGAGCGTGCCTCTTTGGTCGATGAGCTAAGTCCGGGGACCCCGATAATAGGTAGTCTACCGACAATCTGCTGTTTTCAGGGGACGCTGGTGACGGGAGGGTAAGCAATGGAGTTGCTGCGTCATCTTCAGGATTCAATCCTGAGGACACTGGCGTTAAAGGCAATGCCCGAACTTTGGGGCCAGGATTGGAACGCATCCGACAAATTGGAGGACTCGCTCCTACAAGTGATGCCGGAGAAGCTAGCAGGCTAGGTTGGCGATGGAACTCAGAGTCACTTGGTTCGGCAAACGATTTGGATCGTTTGTGGGGCCGCTGTGATGACGGGCTTACAGTCCCAGATGAACTGCGACGGAGAGAGGCAAAACTGTCAACGACATGTTTGGGAATGATAGGCGATGGGACACTCGCTTGGATTTCTTGCGGTGGTGTGGAATAAAAGGAGCTCGTTCCGGCTTCGTTGATACCAAAGACACGCATATCCGTGGGTTCTTGTTTCCTCCTTGTGGGCTCGATACTACTCGGAGCCGTCTGTATGCGTTGTACCATCGGCTTTGGTTGTATATTGGTGGATGTGGCATTGACGGAGAATGTGTGGGTGAACGATGGCGGTTGGTTCTGCGAAGCCGTGGCCTCCTGAAATGGCTGACTGGCATGGTTTGGGGTCCCAAACGATGAAGACCTCTTCGTCCGACGACCTTCCCAATTTAATCGGACGCTATAATCACAGATCTCTCCTGTCCTTTGACAACTAGTTGCTGTTTGTTAGTCAGATCTTGCCTGAAGTTTTGTGTTAAGTATCTGGTGTTTGATGGGGGACAAAGTCTCAAGGATCGGGAGAAACAATGATTCGATTCCATGTTCATGGACGCCGTCAATAGAGTCTACCCGAAACTTGCAGCATCCTGCTTCAACTAGGAGTTTCTCCATCAGGGCGGAATGAGATATTTTGAACTATGCTAGGCGCAAAACGATCAAACCTCTCTTCAGCCAGTGCTGTTGGTCCGACCAAGGAAGTCTGTTTTTGGGATGTGTTTCGAGGAAAGAAATGCGAACTTACTTGAGACATGTTGGATGTTCCTCACCGCACTTTACCTTGCGACCTTTGCATGGCCTGCACCTGAGTGAGTGACATGTCACAACAAGAATATAGGGCCCTGAAGTAGATTCTTGCACTCCTTCTCGGAACTTACCAACATCCATTTCGACTTCGCCTTTTCGGTTCTGGAGCCCCCGGCTTCTTTGGGCGCGGCATGCTACAACCCGAGGTTCATGCCCAGTCTCAAGGCGCCTTCTGGACGAGCTGGGACAAAAGGGCGGGGTCGAGGGTGAATGATTGGTTCGTTAGGTATGATACGCAGATATGCAGCGCAGGTACGCGGTGCGGTGCAAGTGTCTACGCAAACTTGCTTGCAGTGGAATCGTGAGCCGACTTCACTTTTCACGATATCCACCGACTGGAAATTGATAAGAGTTTTTGGAAACAATGTCAGTTTCATGCGACGGCGAAAACGAAAGAATAGAAGCATTGCGTCCCGACCTCATCCTTAAGTAAAGTCATTGGCCGACGAGATCAGGCCCGAATTGGGTTGCGGTGATGCAGCGCCGATTGCGGGAATGTAAGCGGCCCAATGCTGGCCTCTTTCGTCCACGTGAGCAGCAACAGCCTCACTCAGTTGGGTGGACTTGAATCGGCATGCGGCTGCATCGTGAAGCTCATTTGACTAGCCGCCGCCTCATCGGACTTGCGGGGATGCTGCATCGTCGCATTGCTTTTTCACTCAGCCCTTACGTGGGGGCGTGCGGGATCATTGGGCTCTCGTCTCATTAGTTGCCGTCTGGCGGCTCTTTGCTGCTTTGCCGCTCTACCGGCTACACGATGTCGATGTTCAGGATCTTGATGTCCTCCTCAGGCTTTTCCTTATACGTCCGGACATTCTCGATTTTGTGAATGACGTCCAGGCCCTGCGTGGCACGTCCAAAGATTGTATGCTTGCCATCCAGCCAAGGCTTCATCACACCCACACGTTAGCGAAAGCACATTTAAGGGGGCTGGGCCGCCACTCACCGTCTTTTCTGTGGTGATAAAGAACTGACTGCCATTGGTGTTCGGGCCTGCATTAGCCATGCTGACAGTGTATGGCTTGTCGTGCTTCAAGCTGCTGAATTCATCTTCGAACTCTTTGCCCCAAATACTCTCGCCGCCGGTACCATCACCCAGGGGGTCACCACACTGAATCATGAATTTTCGAATCACACGATGGAAGATGGTGTTATTGTAGTATCCCTTCTTCGAGTGAGTGACGAAGTTCTCGACGGCTTTCGGTGCCGCATCAGGGAAGAGGCGAATATGGATGTCGCCGTATGTCGTGTGGATCACCGCTGCGGTTCCAGTCTCTGCCTTCTTAGCCTCGGCAGCCTTCTTCTGTCCAAGCATAGTCGGTTTCTCGTTCTGCACATCTCTGACCGACTTGGATATGTCCTCGTCATTGGTGAACATGTAGAACCGCACTTTGTTCACGCCTGTGGCAATCAGAATCGGATCTCTCGACTCTGACTCCTGAAGTAGGGGGTTGCTCGAGGCACCCATCTCTACGGTGGTAATGCCCTTCTTCTGCGGTTGACCTTGGTATATCGCCAAGTTGACGGCTCTGAAGTTTTCTTCCTTGCCGTATACCTTGACTACTTGGTTAGTATAAGTGTTGAGCACTTTGACGCCAACAATGGAGCCGTAGAGGATGAAATTCCCAGATTCGTCGAAAATGACATTGGCCTTGTGCTTGTATGCTGGGGAGTCAATCTCGCGCTCCACCGCGAATCGGCGCCCGAACTCAACGGGATCCAGCTTCTGAAGTCCAGATCCTGCTTGCTGCATCTCCTCAATAACTTGCAGGGACTCGTCGTAAGTCCTGTAAAGTTTGCCCGACGCAAAGTCAAATATGCGGATTTTTCTGTCGGGTTGGGAGAAGGTTGCGAAATGTTTGCCCGTCGGTGAGATGGTGATGGACGTGGGAATGGACTTTGCCTTCTTGAATTCGAAGAGATTCGTAGAGGCCTTGAACTCGAAGACGTTGTCGGGCTTCTCGTAGTCTTCACTTGGCCGCCAATACTCCAACATACCCTTGTCGTCGGCCGAGATCACACAGTCGTAGACGCTGTTGAAGGCCATTATCGATACAGGGCTTCTGTGAAGCGACTTAATTGTGTGAATGGGATCCTGTCTTTCTCCCCTCCCGTCGAAAATGTGGACGTTTGAATTCGCGTCCTCGGAGACAGCGAGCAGCGGTAGCGAGGCGCCCCTGTTATGGACCCAGCAGATGCACCGAGGCACAAAAGCGAGCTTCAGCATGGCTAGCAGATCGAAAGTGATAACATCAAAGATCTTGATGGTCTCGTCCTCTCCAGCTGTTGCGAAGCTTCTTCCATCCTGACTGGCTGAGACTGACTTAATCTCGCCGTTGTGTGCTTTGAACTCCTTGACGAACTCAATACCCTCTGCCACCTTTTTCCAAAACTTTACAACACCGTCGGTCGAGGAAGTTATGATGAAGTCGGTCAAGGGCGTAACGGTCACGAAGGAAAGCTGCTCCTTGTGCATCAGGGACTTCGAGTATCGGGAGGACTTGGGTAGGGCGGCGATATAAAGCTTTTCGTACGGGAGGACTCGACGCTTCTTCTTCGGGGCCTCGCTGGGCAGCTGAGGGCCCATATCATCGTCGGAGGAGCTGTCTGATGAAGCATTGTCAGTACCGAAGCGCATCGTCGCGCAACATTTTCACATACCATCATCTTGTCCCGCGAAGTCCTCGTGTGTTCGTTTGTTTGACTTGGAGTCTTCGTCGGCCATTGTGTCGGTGAACTTGTAGTTCGGTCAATGTCTGAGAAAAGCTGCCGTCCGAAAGTAGCCTGACGGGGTCCCGAGCTCCTGATTCAAAAGATGTAAGGCTGAAGATTGAGTGCGCGAAGCTTAGATGATGGTTTTCGGGAAGCTTTCCTTGCGCCCAATCAGACTTGTCGTTGGCGTGAGCTAGTGCAGCCTTGTTGCTTCCTCGACGCCGTTACTCTGTCCGGCTCCACAAGAAGCTTAGCCCACCCTGGCTGCCCCTGGAGCACATGCCCGATTGGACTTTCAAGGGTGGCTCTTCGGGGGACCCAGCCTGCGTGGGTCTGCCTGGGACTTCAGATCAGGGGCCACTCTGGCGGACTCTGCTCCATCAGTGACCTCATGACGAAGCCCAGCCTGCCGAAGGCGCCGGGAAGTTGCAACATGCCGCGGCCCCGTCACTTTGACGATGCCTCCCATTGTCCCTTGATTGGCCCCAAAACGCTCCGTCGGGACAATGTCTAAAAAGGATTCGAAGATTATGTCTTCGATAATCTTCTCCTCTTAACAAAGTTCGTCTCAAATACCTACAAAAGCCAGTGGCTCGGACGTGATCCTCCCTTGCGCCCGCCGGCATCCCTCTACATTCATCTCTTAGAAGACCCGCCATCGTGGCCTTGGACCTGTCATCCCTTCACCCAACAACTTAGACCATAACAAACACGAATCGCGCGAGATCAACACCAATTGCCAGTTCACCAAGATGGCTCGACACCGATTGCAGCGGCTTGAGTCCCCGTCGAGGACATTGTCGCTTTTGCTTCATGTTGCCGGCCTTTGCTCCTTCTTCGCTTCGTTCCAGTTCTTGAGCACTCTCACGCACGAGATCTCCATGGGCTTTGGAGGCAACTATCAGCATCTCACAAACATCGGCTTGATTTTGTCTGCAACCACCTTTGGTATTGGTCTGCTAGCCGACATTACTCTGATCCCTCAGTTGTTCACCGTCAAGAACGCTCTCTCGACTACGGCCGCTCCCCTCGAAGTCCTCATCAGCATCTTGTACTGGGGAATCCGTTCAATCGACGAACGTCTTTTGATTCCCGAGGGCTTCGAGCTTCACTGGCTTCCAGATGTCGGCTTTCACCTTGTGCCGGCAGTGGTCCTGACCCTCGACTTGATCCTGTTCAGCCCTCCATGGACTATCCGCGCGTACTCAGCCATGACTATTAGCATGGTGTTTGCTTTCTTGTACTGGGGCTGGGTTGAGTTGTGCTTCAGCAAGAACGGAGCGTAAGCACGGAGATGTCCGAATTGAAGACTTAGTAGGCTAACGCGTCCCAGCTACCCGTACCCAATCTTCGCAGTCTTGAATACGGCACAGAGAGTAGGATTGTTCACCTTCTCGGCCGTGTTAATGACATTGAGCACGAGCTTTCTCAAGTTCGTTTACGGGCGATTGAACGGCGTTGAACGTATGGAGAAGGAGGCTTACAAGCCCCTTAAAAAGAATTTGTAGGCGGGGTGTTGGTGCTTGCGTTGGTCTTGTACTGGGTAAGGCAGACGTTATCCTCTGCTTCTTGTTTGAACGAAAATGCCAGCGAGATCGGCCAGGGTAGACTTGAGATGTTACTAGTAGAATGTGCCGCTAGAGTTAGATTGAGAATGAAACGACATGTGCTTTTAGTATGCCTCCCCGATAGGTCAGATGCATGGGATGAATTGAAGGTGTGTCGCCATCCCAAGTCGCCCTGCACCTTCACCTGCAAAGGCACACAACGTCGTTACTCACCCGACTGCCGTCCCCTCCAGGCCTCGCATCGCCTGCAAAGGCCCGGTGTCCGGTGCTTTTGGGGATGTCCTCCAGGCGGTGAGACCCAGTGTGTGGCGCCATGTGTAGTGCTCAGTGCAGTCGGACAGTCCCACAGTGGCACGTCACAGCTAAAGACGGCGAAAAAAGGACAGCAAGGATGCCCCTCAATAGTGGCAAGTTGCATGTCGACCAACTTTTTTTTTTTTCTTTCTCGAGCGATCCTCGGCGGGGTACTGCCGGCCGGGGGGGTCGCAAGTGTGGGCGACGGGGCGACAGGCACAGGCACAGGGCAGGGGGGGAACGAATGAGTCTTTGCTCATTGCTGATATTCTTCGAAGCTCCGACCTTTGCGCTGCTGTGACTCTCTTCTCGACACAACCTCCCAGCAGAGAGAAAAAGTTTATTTTCTTCCTTTTCACTTGTCTACGTCCAGAGCCTTTCGTTGCAGACTCGGCTTCACCCAAGTCTACCATTTCACTCAAGCGTATTTGTTGCTTTCCTTCCCCGCATTCACCATGTCTGTAAGTCAGCGCCCCTCGACACCCTGTCCGCGCCTACCTCTGACTCACCTTCACCATAGAGCTTCTACATCGAGAACAAGAACGTTGGCAACAAGGCCGAGAGTGAAGACTGGAGAAGTATGTTTCCAATTGGCAACCTCAAAATAACTTTCAAGGCTAATTGGCTTCCTAGTTCGCGGTTACAACCCTCTGACTCCTCCCGACCTGCTCCAGCACGAGATTGCCCAAACTCCCAAATCGAAGCAAACCGTTATCGAGGGCCGTGAGGAGGCTGCAGCCGTAGTAAATGGCACCGACGAGAAGGGCAGACTTCTGGTCATTATTGGCCCTTGCTCGATCCACGACCCCAAGGCCGCTCTCGAGTACTGCGACCTTCTTCTCGCTGCGAAGGAGAAGCACAAGGATGAGCTGCTCATTGTGATGCGCTCCTACTTGGAGAAGCCGCGCACAACTGTTGGATGGAAGGGTCTGATTAACGACCCCGATATCGACAACAGCTTCAAGATCAACAAGGGTCTCCGCCTATCGAGACAGCTCTTCGTCGATCTTACGGACAAGGGTATGCCTATTGCCAGCGAGATGCTCGACACCATTTCCCCCCAGTTCCTCGCCGATTTGCTGTCCGTTGGCGCCGTCGGCGCGAGAACCACGGAGAGCCAGCTGCACCGCGAGTTGGCCAGCGGTCTCAGTTTCCCCGTCGGCTTCAAGAACGGTACCGATGGCTCGCTCGGAGTCGCAATCGACGCCATTGGCGCCGTCAGACATCCCCATCACTTCCTCTCTGTTACCAAGCCCGGTGTCGTCGCTATTGTCGGCACGGTAGGCAATGAGGACTGCTTCGTCATCCTGAGAGGCGGCACCAAGGGTACCAACTACGACGCCAAGAGCATCGCCGAAGCCAAGGCGGCGCTGGAGAAGGCTGGCCTGCCCCAGAGGCTCATGGTCGACTGCAGTCACGGTAACTCTTTGAAGAACCACAAGAACCAGCCCAAGGTCGCCAGCGAGCTCGCAGCCCAAATCTCCAAGGGTGAGACCGCCGTAATGGGTGTCATGATTGAGAGCAACATCAACGAGGGTTAGTACTTTGCGCAGCGCTGAGAATGATTGAAGCATATGCTAACGAGTTGCAGGCAACCAGAAGGTTCCCAAGGAGGGCCCCAGTGCTTTGAAGTACGGTGTCAGCATCACCGACGCGTGCATCCACTGGGACGATACCGTCTCCGTTCTGGATGAACTCGCCAGCGCAGTAAAGCAACGCCGCGAAATTCTCAGCAGAAATGGCCACGCCTGAGAGTGGAAGGCTATTGATTTCGGAGCATTGAGTTTGGATCGGGAAAGGGAATTGTGCATAATACCATCAGCTTGCCTGCCGTCAACGTAGGTATGAGCTACATAAGCCTGCGGGCTCAGATAAAAGTTGCGTGTTTTCTTAAAAAAAAAAAAAAAAAAAAAGGAAAATGCCCATTGATACCCGATCACTGTCGTCAATTGCGTTATCGTGAGATGTTTGTCGCACGTTTCAAGAGAATAGCGTGTGCTAAGCTGTAAATTGAGATTGACCATGGAAAAGCCAATACCGCCAAACGCTGCTGGTTTCTGTCTTTTGCATACTTACAGTGAACGTCAAAAAGGAAAGAATGTTCGTCCAATGTTGTATCGTGATGCAGGTCAAGTTGGCTGGCTGCATGGGTCCAGGCCAATCAAGCGAGGCATATTTCTCAGGTCGGTGCATGACGACACGACGGCGCTGGGTGCGACGGGCGATCGGAAATACTTCTGGTCGACGGGCAACACCGGGTGGGAGGAAAGCAAGCGAAAAACGACCGGACCGGAACATGTTGCTGGCCGAAGCCATTAGCCAATCAGAGACGTCCCATACCTAAGGCACTCGAAAACTGCCTCACAGCGATTTTCTCCTGCCTCGACTACTGTACCGTAGAAACGACCTCCGTCACGAGAGGACCTACCACCCATTGCCCCATCATTTTGTTCGCGGCTGTCTCTGTAGCTGCGGATACAGCTCGCCCATCATGTTGGCAAGGTCCTGCTTGCGCTCGGCGCGCACCTTCACAAATGGCGCCGTCACCATTTCCAAGGTACGCACATGAGCTGATCAAGAAGCCAATTTCCCGAGGCAATCCGACCTACCGCCACACGACACCCCCGGAACCGCCTCAGTGGCCATCGAGAGATATCAATGATTTGGGGACCGAACACTGACAGTGATCCATGCAGCGTGCGGCGTCCACTTCCACCGGCGCTGGTGCCGAAGCTTCCCACTCCCGATTGAACATCTCCGCCGTTGCGTCGACATCTCTCGCTCTGGGCTCTATGGCCTGGTACTACCACCTCTACGGACCTTCGGCGAACGCTGCCACGCCCGCTGAGGAGGGGTGAGTTCTCCCCATCCGAGAAAGGTTGCTGCGGGTCAATTTGTTCGGATTCCGAGATCCCTTGCTGGGTTGAGGCATAATCCACAAATGCACCGGAGGCACCGAAACAAAGGCATATTGAGCTGACATTCGATACCAGTCTGCACCCTACCAACTACCCTTGGGTTCACGAGCAATGGTTCAAGACCTTCGACCACCAGGCGTAAGCAATCCCCCCACGCTACCTGGTAAATGACGCTCACACAATTGCAGTCTCCGCCGTGGTTTCCAGGTCTACCGCGAGGTCTGCGCCTCTTGCCACTCCCTCAGCCGTGTTCCCTACCGTGCCCTGGTCGGTACCGTCCTGACCGTCGACGAGGCCAAGGCGATGGCCGAGGAGAACGAGTACCCCGGTGAGCCCAACGAGCAGGGCGACATCGAGATGCGCCCCGGCAAGCTGTCCGACTACATCCCCGACCCTTACAAGAACGAGGAGGCTGCCCGCTTTGCCAACAACGGTGCCCTCCCCCCCGATCTGTCTCTCATTATCAAGGCCCGCCACGGTGGCTGCAACTACATCTTCAGCTTGCTTACTGGTTACCCCGACGAGCCCCCCGCCGGCGCTGTCGTCGCCCCCGGCATGAACTTCAACCCCTACTTCCCCGGTACCGGTATCGCCATGGCCCGTGTCCTCTACGACGGCCTCGTCGAGTACGAGGACGAGACCCCCGCTTCAACCTCTCAGATGGCCAAGGACGTCGTCGAGTTCCTCAACTGGGCCGCCGAACCCGAGATGGATGACCGCAAGCGCATGGGTATGAAGGTTCTTGTCGTTTCGGCCACGCTCTGGGCTATCAGCGTCTGGGTTAAGAAGTACAAGTGGGCTTGGCTCAAGTCGAGGAAGCTCGCGTACGAACCTCCCAAGGAGACCAAGGTTCGCCATTAAATTACGCAAACTTTCGGTTGTCTCTGTGTATGTTATACTAGGCTCTCTAAAACAGCTCCTTTGTTCGTGGAGGCGGCAGAGACGAGATTCATCGTTGGGAGCAAACGGGGGAGCGATAGAGTGTAAATCAGATGGTCTTTTTTCAATACCTGATTTCTTGATAATGACAAGTCTTCTATGTCTATGCTTACTTCTTTCACATACCTGACAATGACTTCTGTGAATTGCTCATTCATCGTCTTGCTGACCACGCACGCACAAGCGACAAAAGAAAGACAAATTGGGCACATGGAATGGTAGTCAATGCCCTCATGTTGTAGACTGTCATTTAATATATGATTGCAGAGAGAAAGGGCTTCTGAGCAGACAGCGACACCAACCAACTATGCATCCTTGGAGGCACCTCGGCGAATCCATGACCGAGACAGAGTCAACCAACAAAGGGTCAAAAGCAACATCGGAGGCAACTTCACAGTGGCTTCTTATCGGGTCTTTGACATGTTTCGTCCGAATTGCTTCCAAGACCCCTAATTTGTAGAAAGTTCTAGGGCTTGCATGTCCAGATGTTGTGTAGCCACGGCACTTGAGACCGTGAGAGGACATTGGAAGTACAAATAACTCACGTTGGATGAGGAACGGTGGTCATGTAGGTTGTATGAGGCACCTTTAGAGTCAATTGCGGGTGCGATATACGAATCAGTGGGTCCCAGTCAGTCCCGACTTCCCGTCCATAACACTGTGAAAGCTGCGCAGCACCTGCTCGGTTGAGCAAGTTGGGAAAGCGCTGGACAGAACGACCAGCGGATTTTCCAGCGGCCGGCGCGGTTTCCGAGCAGCTAGACGAAGCGCTGTTGAGTCTGCTGACAGTGGTGGGAATACAAGCACGCAGCTCTCGAGCGAATCTGGCTGCCGCGCCGCCCGCTGGCTGAACCCACCAGAGGCACCCCACACAGGCAAATCAGGCGTGAAAGCTCCGCGCCGTGCCAGTCCACCCTCATAAACGCACGGCGGCATGTCCACCTAAAACGGAACTTACCTGCAGGAGCAATCAACCCGACTCAAGGAGAGCGCTGAGTGGGAGGCAGACACACCCTTCCACCATCATCACACTTTCTGTCTCTCCTCTTCTAACGGCCTCTCCTCTTCTCTCCTCTCCCTCTTCAGATCTCCAAACCAGGTCTTCTTTCTACCTCTCTCCCTCCCCCATACCTTCTCCATATTCCATCATCGGCCTGCGGAGTTTATCTGGAATTCACGAATCTGTGCAAGGAGCGAGCGATATACCACCACCTCTGCAGTTCGCCTCCCATCTCAACAACACCCGATACCCACCCAAAACCATACCAAATGCCGTCCATCGCCGAGGAGCATCCTCGGCTGATGCTACCAGGCCGAAAGCGAAGACGAGACAACGAAACCGACCTGCAGATACAGGGGCCTTTGTACGAGAAACTCGCCCAGTACTCAGCCATCGCCTCGACGAACTGGAAAGCTGACGGCCCTTTTGGCAGGCCCATTCAGCAGCAGCTGCAGCAGCAACAACTGCAGCAGCAGCATCCAGACTTCTCCCCCCAATTTCCCAGTAATGGAATCGTCTTCCAACACGGCAGCCTCGGCGACCAACAATACCACAGCCTCGACGCCATTCCTAGAAAGATAGCGCCGCTGCCTGGTTCCAAGAGACAGCGCATGTTCGACGAGGAAGACGATAGCGCCGAGACGGCTGCATGGGACACAGCAACATCATCGCATAGGCAACGACGGAGCAAGTCGCCCTCATCTCAACAAGCTGCCCGGGGGCACCAGGACCAGGCCGACACGGCCAACAAATCAAGAACCCCGGCTTCGCTAAGCCCGTGCCACATCTGCCATCGACGGCCAACCAAGAAGTCGGACCTGGACTCCTTTGCGGACTGCGAGGGTTGTGGTCAACGGACGTGCTACGTGTGCATCAGACAATGCCAAGGCTGGAAGAAGGACGGCCGGCCTAGTGATGGCGACGAAGTTGAGCAGGAGGATATGTCGAGGTCATTCCACATGGACGACGTTGACGACACACGACAACGACAGAGAAACGAGAGCGAGACTCGAAATGGACAGGAGAAACGACATGACGGCTGGACGGGCGGCGGGCACAGGACCATGGTCTGCAGTCGGTGCTGTATAGAGAAGGGCGCCGAGGGTGACGTCGCTTGTCTGGGTTGTCTGTCCCGGATGGAATCTGTTTAAAAGCGAGGGACCGTTCCTCGAAAGCTGCAATGGGGAGACTGCGGGGGATTCTATTCATGTTCACATGATTCCAACAGGTTTCTTATGAGGATGGACGTAACAACAGCGGTGGTCGAACCGGACTGGCGCACTGGTGAGTGCGAGGCGCTGCTAATGAAGGCATGCATTATCATAACTTGGCATTGGAAACTTTTTTGGGCACCGCTGAGGCAGCATTATGGGATTTTACTGTGGTGGAGGAGCCAACATCAGGCATGGGAAAGGGGCCGGTGAACAGCAAGGCTCTATGCATAGAATGGAAGGCTATAGAGCCCCATTGGTAAATGTAATTCTACAAATCAATACCACAATCGAGTAAGAGACAGCGGTTCTGCATGTCTGACCTATAATTTGATCTCCAATCTTTGAGGTGTTGTCAACGATACTTCCGCGTCAAATATGTCAGCGTCGTGGGGTGCCTCATCCAGAAACTACTTGAAAGGCCATAGGATACTTGTCATTTCGAAGCTGTAAGAACGAGGATGCGTGTGTCGTCCATGTTTTCATGCGCAAGCAAGGCCAAACGAGTAGGCCGAGACGAAGGCTTACAGGCGCCAGCACGCTTCATCGTCTCAATGTCTGCCGCAAGAAACGTAGATGAGGCCAGCAATAGGGCCTCTCTCTCGGCTTGGACGTGCAGATGCTGGAACTATTAAGCAAGTCCTTCAAGTTGCGTGGTGGCTCCAAGCAACGCCTCGTCTCCCTGAGAGTTTGGCGGGACTCTGCTGGATAATACTCTTTGGCGCTGCAACTGATGCAATACGCCCATCAAGCTCAATCTCATATTTCTCAACGTCACTGTTTAGTTTGGCCACATCTTCCTACTGGCGCATGGAAAAGCCTGGTCTATTTCTCTCGAGCGAGGTATCCCGCCCTCTAGACCTTCCCTAACCCCAAGCCTATTCTTACAGCCTGAAACGATATCATCAACTCCGTGCCTCTTCCCCTTGGTTTCCTTAGTTGTATTGCATGTAGCTGGCCGTAGAGTTGAACTTGAGGTTGGCCTTGATGACCTTGTCGACAGCACTGAGGAAGTCCTTCTCCGTGGCCACCTTTCTGCGGGCACGAATGGCGAACATACCAGCTTCTGTGCACACACTGCGAAGTTCGGCACCCGTAGCGTTGGGGCAAAGACGGGAAATAAGCTCCCATCTGATATCGCGCTCGACGGACATGCTCTTCGCGTGAATGCGCAAGATGTTGGCGCGACCCTCGAGGTCTGGGAGGGAGAACTCGATCTTACGATCAATACGACCGGGTCTCATAAGCGCAGGGTCGAGGGTAGAAGGTCTGTTCGTTGCGAACATGACCTTGATGTTACCACGAGCGTCGAAACCATCAAGCTGCGTAATCAGCTCCAGCATAGTTCTCTGGACCTCGTTATCTCCACCAGCACCATCATCGAAACGAGCACCACCAATGGCATCGATTTCGTCGAAGAAAATGATGCAGGCCTTCTTCGTCCGCGCCATCTCGAACAGCTCACGGACCATTCTCGCACCCTCACCGACGTACTTCTGCACCAACTCAGAACCAATGACACGGATGAAGGTAGCATCCGTTCTGTTGGCGACGGCACGCGCGCAGAGAGTCTTTCCCGTTCCGGGAGGTCCGTACAGCAGGGCACCCTTCGGGGGATCGATACCGAGGTTGACGAAGCGTTCCGGCGACAGGAGGGGCATCTCGACTACCTCACGCAGCTTCTCAACCTGCTCCTTTGATCCACCAACATCTCCGTATGTCACATCGGGCTTCTCCTCGACCGTCATCATCGTAACGCTGGCGTCGATCTTGGGAGGAAGAGGAAGAAGGATCTGGTACTTGTTTCTGTCAACACCGACTCGCATTCCCTCCTCGATATCCGTCGGAGACACTCTCTCGCCGAGCTGGACGACGAACTTCGCAATTTGCTTGACGTTAATGACATATTTGCTCTTGGAGTCGTCCTTCTCGTCGGGAATGATCTTGGTACACCGGGCGACCTGGAGCGGTTGTTCTTCTGACATTCGTTGACGGTCGGCGGCAACGTCCCAGAGATGAGGAGGGGCAAGACCCGTGTCGGATTCCTGGCCGAGTCAGTCATTGACCAATGTGCCAATCAAAGAAGAGAGCTACCTTGACACCAATCTTCTCGTCTACACTTGTTTGCTTCTCCTTGATCTGTTGCTCGAGCTTCTTGATGGCGGCACCGTAGGGCGCAGCGCCATAGGTCTTCAGCACCTGAATATCTCTGGGTATCGTTAGTCGACGTGATATGGATTACGAAGGCTTTCGGAAATGCGCACTCATCAGTCAGTGGCGTGATCTTCTTCTCCTCGATCTCGTCGTCTGCGTAGGTCTTCTGGTACTTCTCCCAGTTCTGGCCGGTAGCGGAAGGCTAATTGACTGGTTAGCATCTGTCACCGGGATGCACACGCAAGGGTCATCAATACCATGATGCAGAATGAGGACTGGGCGTCCTGCTGCCGGAAATTCTTGTGAAGTGAGGTCTGGAAGCTCAGAGATTAAGGCAGGATTTTTGCGTTTATTCGTGAGGTTCTCGAGTGGTAGGTATGGTCGTCAAGATGGTAATGCTGGGGTGGATTGGAGATGGTGATGGAAGACGGTTCCGTAATCCCAGGTTGCCTTGAGCTCCCCAAGCACGGGCCACAGCTGCGAGGCTGCTGTGGAGCTAGGCCGGTTGGGGCAAAATGCAAACAGAGGTACCGGGGAAGGAACAACCTGCCGCCCGCTAAAAAATATCCCACCGCTGGGGGGTTGCTACCTGAGAGAAAGTGGGCGATCGCAAAAGAAGGCGACAGCGGGACACGACCAAGACGATACCCATATCTCTCCCCGCCGACTTTATCTTGCCATTCCGACCTTGAATTCTCAGAAACAACCCAGGAAACCAGCAAAACATCCAAAATGGCCACAGCTGCACCTGCCCCCGCCGGGGGTAACCAAGCTGCCTTCAAGGTATGGCGGGGAGTGCCGGTGACGAAGCTCTGGTAGAAGAGCTGTTGCTGACAATTTTCTAGGACAAGGAGAAGCCCGTCGCGGTCCGCTCTTCCAACATTGTTGCTGCCAGAGGTAAGCAACGCGACTTCTTCATGAGCTCCACAGAGCAGAAGCTGACTTTCAGCTAGCTGTCGCCGATGCCATCAGAACGTCCTTGGGCCCCCGAGGCATGGACAAGATGATCCGAAGCGGGAAGGGCGAGACGATCATTACCAACGACGGAAACACGATGCTCAAGAGCATGTCGGTCATGCACCCTACAGCGAAGATGTTAGTCAACCTCTCGGCAGCGCAGGATGTGGAGGCGGGAGATGGTACTACGTCAGTCGTTGTTATCTGCGGTAGCTTGCTGGGTGCTGCGGACCGCCTTCTGTCAAAAGGAATTCATCCCTCCGTAATCTCGGAGTCCTTCCAAAGAGCTGCGGCCGCCGCTGTCGAGGTTCTTCACGACATGTCACAACCTATCTCCCTCACCGATACCGCTTCCCTGCTCCAGGCAGCCAATACCTCCCTTTCCTCCAAGATTGTATCGCAATACTCAAACATTCTGGGTCCCATGGCTGTCAACTCTGTTGTCAAGACCATCGACCTGAAGACGGCCGACAACGTCGATCTTAAGAACATCAGAATTATCAAGAAGGTTGGCGGAACTATCGAGGACAGTGAGCTTGTGGACGGTCTGGTCTTGACCCAGCCCGTTCTCAAGGGCGCCGGAGGACCCGCGAGGATTGAGAAGGCCAAGATTGGTCTTATTCAGTTCCAGCTCAGCCCTCCCAAGCCTGATGTATGTTTGCCCCTGAAATACCCCTATTCGACCTTCGCTGACCAATCAAGATGGAAAACACCATTCAGGTGAACGACTACAGACAGATGGACAAGATCGTTAAGGAAGAGCGTCTTTACCTTCTGAACATGGTCAAGAAGATTAAGAAGGCGAAGTGCAATGTTCTCTTCATCCAGAAGTCTATTCTTCGCGACGCCGTCAACGATCTTTCCCTGCACTTCTTGGCTAAGCTGGGCATCCTTGCTGTCAAGGATATTGAGCGTGACGAGGTCGAGTTCATCTGCAAGTCTACTGGCTGCAAGCCTATCGCCGACATCGACTCCTTCACCGAGGACAAGCTCGGTACGGCCGACCTTGTTGAGGAGGCTCAGTCCAACGGTGCCCGCATGGTTAAGGTCAGCGGTGCCAAGGCCACTGGCAAGACGGTCTCGGTCGTTGTTCGTGGCGCCAACTCCCTCATTCTTGATGAGGCCGAGCGCAGTCTGCACGATGCCCACTGCGTTGTCCGTTGCTTGGTGAAGAAGAAGGCTCTTATCGCCGGTGGTGGTGCCGCCGAGATCGAGATCGCTTCTCAGCTGGCCAAACAGGCTCGTGCTCTGACGGGCACCGAGGCCATCTGCTGGAAGGCTTTCGCGGATGCTATGGAGGTGGTTCCTACGACACTGGCCGAGAACGCCGGTCTCAACAGCATCAAGGTCGTCACCGAGCTCCGCCACAGGCACGAGCTGGGCGAGAAGAACGCTGGTGTCAGTATCAAGTCCGGCGGCGTCAACACCAACATCTCCAAGGAGAACGTCCTGCAACCGTTGTTGGTGAGCACTAGCGCCATCGAGCTGGCTGCCGAGACGGTCAAGATGATTCTCAGAATAGACGACATTGCTCTCACCCGATAAATGGGGAGATATGAGTCACGAAATGAAAAGTAAAAAGCAAAAGGGGATATCCGGGCTTGGTGATCATGTACATTACGGCTGCCCTGGCTTAATCACGGTATAGACGTGGGCCTGGGATTAAGGCGTCAGAACTATTAGAAGCTAAGAGCAATTGATCACAACAGATACCTTGATGACACTTGAGGGTAGCCCATGTAATTGATCAAGATTATGCATAACTAGGCGATTACCCGAGTTCCAGCTTTTCAGCTTTTCGGCCACTGTGCATCTCACCTTGACTGGTA